GGAATGCATATTCAAGATCGTAACGATGCAATTTCGATGGCGCATATATAATGAGAGCCTCGAGAGCGGTGCGCCGCTCTTGCCCGGTTAATATCAACCTTTCTGCACAATGGTCCTATCACGAGGGGACTCGGAAGAAATTTCGATGTAACCGATGGCGGTTGCATTGTCATACCTCGAGCTTCGCTCAACAAAGACCGCCTGTGCAACGCGGCATTGCTGCCGCCGTTGCTGTTGCTGCTGCCGCTGCAGTTGCTGCTTCTGCTGCCGTGCCAAGGGGAACGAACGAAAGTGTGGTATTGACGTCGAAAAAGGAAGAACAACGACATAATTCTCGAATCATCATGCGAGATGAGTATCCGGCCACAGCGGGGCCGCCCCGAGAAGCGTGATTTTACCTACTCGTTAAACGTTGAACGTTGAAACGCTCCTCGCTTCCGGTAAACCCCGCGGTATCTTCGCGCGCGCGCGCGCGCGCGCGCGCGTGTGTGTGTGTCTCGATCCGGATCATCGACGTTAAATCGTCCACGCGACTGTTAACACGTACGCGCGCTATCCGCGAGGCACAAAGACCGCCGAGAACAATAATAATAGCGCTTTGTGTCGAAAGTTACTCAATTACACGGGCTCGATTACGACGTTATTGCAGCTTAATGCAGAACGCGGCTGTTAATAGACGTATAACATTTATTATGATAGAGGACCGCGTCATCCGTGATGTACTCTACAAATATGTTTCTACGCTATTGTACAAACGCTAAAACATATTCCGCTCCGTATTATCTGGTGTTATTGACACCGGAGACCACTCTTCGTACGGGTGCGGTTTCCTTTTTCGATCGTGCAAAAATTGTACAGCGTCAGAACTTTCTTGTAAAATAAGAAATGAATATTTTGAAGCTACCGTCTCGTGCAATAAATTCTTCCCTCCCCCCTCCCTCTATTTCCCCCTTTTTTATCTTTCTTGTCTTCGTTCTTTTCCTTGCTTCATTTTTGCTCTCCTCTTATCGCGGGACGCCGCGAAATCGCTTCGAGCCCCGATAAAAGCACGCCGGGTTATCCTCGCGTCAATTAGCGCGATCGCGCACCGGGGGAATTTCGCCGTGTCTCTGCCACGGCGTGCTCGGTTCACGCCTCGAGGGAGCGTCATCGCCGCATTACTGCCGAGTAATCTCTTTTATCGTGTCCCGATTCCGATTAATTTAAAAATATGCACGCGTTAACGACGCGTACGGTATATCGCGAGCAACGGCACGCATTACGCGGACGAGGGAGGCGCGAGAGGATGCGAAGGAAGAGGAAGAGAAGAAGAAGAAGAAGAAGAAGAAGAAGGAGGAAAGGAAGAGGAGGAGAGGTAGCGAGCGGGACCGCAAGTCGGTTCGCGAGATCCTGCGAAGGACATCCGCGTGCTGAAACCCCACGCGCGGATGTTACCACGCCGGCAGTAACTCCCCTCCCCCCCCGCCCTCCTCCACCTCTTCCCCACTGTAACAACGGTGGAGGAAGATCGCGCGGACGGAGGGGAAATCCCCCCCCGCGCGCGTGAAGTCAGCTTTACGACAATATAATTTTGGTAGCGACACACGAACGGCGTGGAATGCGACGATCGGAGTCAACGAACGGCGTATAGAAGTCTTCGATATGTCGTAAATGGCCCCCCCATCTTTCCCCTGGCCAGCCGCTGTGCCCCGACGTACACGGACCTCTTCTCATGGAAGGGTTATACAGGGTGTTTCGTGAATATCGCGGCTTCGAGCTACGCGGGCGTGTCCTTCGAGGCGAGTTACTCGTGGATTCTTTAATCGGGAGGACTTCGTTTGTACAACGATTACAGAATTGTCTAATGAATATGGAGAACAAAGAAGGAGACCTTCTGAGTAACGCTTCTGATGCAATTCAATCTCAAGTTAGCTTCGCTTTTAAAATATTTTTTTATTATCAAGATATCAAGTTGAATTAAAAATCTAAAAAAAAAAGGAAAAAAAAAAGAAAATTGTTAAATGAAATTTTTGTTACGAGAAAACGGTCTTCTAATTAGGACAGAACGTGGAAGAGTTTTTGACAAAAGGAATTCTACAAACACCTTATGCGTCGTCACGTGCACAATGTTGAATTGCCTACGTTTTCTTCGAGCGATGAAAAATCGATGTCGTCGGATTCCGAAAACGCCAACGACCGCGATCGACCAGTCTCGTCGCCGGCAAACAGAGCTCGGTAACTCTCTCCGTTATATGGCCGATCGAGCAAACGGCGGAGGAGGTCGAGGCGATATGTCCGTTGATGGTCGACGTCTTCGAGATACAACCATAAATTTTGGCGCACCGAATATTCCCCGGGAATAGCTTCGACTGCATAGGTCGGATCAATAACCGCATAAAGTACGGGAAGAAAGAGCGCAGCGGCACGTATTCGCAGTATTCGGTCTCGGAGAGTGAACGTGCGTGGACTCGGGAAGGAGCCCACGGAGCCCATCGGAGTAAAATAGAACTCAGGATCACGTCGCTGTGTTTTTCCTCCGTGTAACAAGAGCAACGCGCGAGGCAGCCTTACGCACTTTTTGCTCCGCCTTAACTTCGCGCCGTTCGCGGATACGATCAAAAGTGCATGTGAAATTGTTGCCGAACATTTCCGCGATACGTGACGGCAAATGGTTAGATGAAAGAGAGAAACAAATGTTAGAAAAGGAACTCGCTCAATTATATAAACGCTGATAGCGCCTTTCGGAAACGTACTTCCGGAAGGTCGTAAATAAATTTTCGAAAATTTTCTCCTTTTTTTCAATCCATAACTGTAAATTCATGCCGCGTATCGTACTTGATTTGATAAAAAAAAAAAAAGAGGTTGATTCATGATGACTTTCAATATTCAAGGTTTATATTAAAGCTAAACTATTTCAGCGATGTTTTAAAGAGATGATTTTATAAAGAATTAATTCCACCGATCTTTCATATACATTATTAAATTCCGAGCGTTCTAGAAACATAGGAATGAAAAAGCGGCTGTTCTTGCCTAGGCACCAAAGGATAGACCAATGCGATTGCCGGAACGAAAAGGATGGAACCGTAAAAATTGAATCGGGAGAAAAACGTCTCATAAAGTATTGTTTTACTTTCGGTGCGTTTCCCGATAAAATCGCGGCCAACCCGTCGGCGAGTCTCGTTTGAAACCGAGAAGAAACTGATGGTCCGTAAAGAGCGCGAACGGTCCACCTCGGACCTCCCGATTATATCGGATGGGTTAGTGCTCGCCCGAAGCGACGCCAAAGGGCTTCGGAAAGAGAGAAAGAGAGAGACAGAAAGAAAAAGGGAAAGAGTGAGCCCTATTGTTGTGCTTAATTTAGCGTTAAATTGTTTACATCTCATTAATCGCGCACGAGGGACAACAACGGTGGAATCCACTGCACCAACAAGACCGTCATGATCATCGATGCACGTTCCAAAGTCCAAGGAGTTCACATTCCTCTTCTCGAATCATTCACGTCTAAATCGATCGGAAGAAACTTATCCTCCTCCTCATTTAAGAAATATAACTAAGAATTGAAATTTAATTTTTGTTATTCTAATTTAGTTGCTGTTCTAGTGTATATTAAACTAAATTCTTCTTATTAGCCTCAATCCGAATTGTACCCTGTTTTCTTTTCCTCAAATTTATCTTTTCTTCGTGTTCATTGTCCTATTCACTTCTTCGTGTATATACATGAGTGTATATAATGTACAAATATACGCGAGTATCCAGTGTATTGAGCTCGGATTATTAAGTCGAAATGCGGATCAGTCATCCCTGCGGGAATTGGAACAGATCTCTCTTCCTATATGTTCCATTTCATGTCGATTTTGGGACGACTTTGATTCGATACTCGAAACAACCAAAGTCCAGTTGCTCCGACCGATTCGCCGAGTTTGCAACACGGTAGCGACGCAGTTAAGCCGCAGAAGTGATATCGGCTAGTTTCGATTGCCCATCGAGTATTGCATAGGCCGTTAAGGAGATAGTCGGATTTCTGCCGTGAATATTACGTTAATCTTCTTAGTATACGCGCGCGAGTGAAGTTGAATGAAATTTTTTACAAGAACGATATGGTGTTTTAAAGAACAGCAAAAGATATTAGAGAAAATCGCGAAAAAAAATAAATGTTTTCCTAATTCGAGTCGCGATCTCATAATATTAAAAAATATTTCAGCCAGTTATACGAAAATCGCACACGACCAGATCAAATTCCGGTTTTACAATTTTTTTACATACACGTTCAAGTACAAAACGTAAAATTTGATTAATATCGGTAGGTCTAGTATGATACGTAATAAAGAGCGCGTACGACCATGCACGTCTTGATAAACACATATCATAAAATTAAAATACTTGGCAACAATTTATTTGCCGATATAAAGCGTAAAAATACCCGTTTACATCGGCGGTCATAAAATATTTTTAACGGCGTGGCTTTTCTGTCGCCGCTTTAGTAAGCTCGTAAGGGTTTACGGGCTATGATCATAGTATAATTTCATATAATGAGAACTCTGGTACTCGATCGTACGGGGGATACGGCAACTATCTACACGGAATCTCATACTATCGGCTTTCAATAAGGTTGATAAAGTCAACTATAGGGAGACGCGAAGAGCGAGAGTATCAAACGCCTATAAAGGAGATGCAACTCGCGAATAATTCACTCATTATCTGCACCATCTTCTCTCTACTTCAGCAATTTCCAGAAAACGTCGGGAGAATATACGTGTTTTAGTAAACACGGGTGTACCGCGAATCTGATTTCGTAGGATCCCATGCAATACTATTAATTACATGTTCCGCAGTTAATTAATAAATCATTAATTTTAATTTTTGTTAAATTCAAATAACGCCATATATAAAAAAAGCGCACATTACGCATTTAAAGAAAAATGATTATACATGGAATAATCCGATTGTACATTTTGCAAATTTTCAAGTATAGCAACTTTGAAAACCAATACCCAATTCATACATGCAATTAAAAAACTCACCCGTTAGATGGCTTCCGGTGAACTCGAAATCGTCATCTTGGTCCCAGTGCTTCAAACTCAAGTTTGACAATGATGTTGCGTTGGCAAACTCCAAGTTTGCAAAATGCCAATCTAATATCTGCCGATCCTTGGATGATAAATAGACGTCGCTGTATTGAAGAAAAAAAATTTGTATCCGATTAATTTGTGCAATACATGACTATAAGAATATATATATTTACCTAGGAGGAGATGCTTCTAATTCTTGTAATTTTGCTTCAATCTCTTTCTGCTGGTCTGATAACTGATCCCATTCCTAAAAAACAAAATAAATAAATACATGACATATGACATATGTTTTATTGATTATTCCACAAAAAATGTACATTATGTACTTTGCAAGCATTATGAAGATCACGTAGCTTAGATCGGAGTACAAATTCCTGCGTTATATCTCGAGTTTGTAATTTGCTCTCTGTCATTTCCTTGTATTGCTTATTCAATTCCATCAAACGATCCATAATAGAGATCATCTATAATATGATCATTATTCAATCAATTATATTAATAAAACTTTATATAAAATTGAAAATTATTTTATCAAACATAATAGTTTTCACTATATGTACCCTATGTTGATTGGTGATTAAACGTCCTTGCAATGAGAGTACAGAACGTAAATGTGCTACTTGGCGTTGCTTTACACCTTGCTCTTGTAAACGTATTACCCATTCTAACGCTTGTCCCAAGGATACTGGACGTGTATTACTACCTTGCCCTCCAGATCCTGCACTATTTACATAATTAAAGTCCAACTGATGCGAAAGGTAAGAAGTAGCTTCCAGTAGCCTATTAAATTCTCTTTCTACCATTTCATCCTTATCTTTAGGAACCTGAAAAAAATATAAAATATATTACACTAAAATTTTATGATGTAATAATGTATATTAGCAATGTAACATGGAGCAGTTTTGGTCTTGAGCAATAACAATTGTTTCAAATTTAATAATATATATTAATAAAATCTCAATGTATATTTTATTATCTTAATAAAATATTTTGAATGTACCGTTTGGCCATCGCTTTCATATAATGGACATTTTTGTCGTATTTTATGAAGTTCCATATTAATTTGTTTACTAAGAGTCGTCACAGGATTTCCACCTAAACCTGTGACCACCATAGCTCCCAAATCCGCAATATAACTTGATTTGCGAAATGTCGCAATTCGCCCACCAACACGATCCTAAAACGCAAATTATAACAATTAGCAAGACAAAAATAAAAACTAAATAAGATAAATCAAAACAATCACTAAAAATTTACCCGAGCTTCTAACACCATTACTTCTAAACCAAACTGTTGCATTTGCTGAGCTGCTGCCAACCCAGCAATTCCAGCTCCTATTACGATAACTTTACCTAATTTTTTGGTTGGTAAGGGCTGTGTACAAGAAACAGATTTTTCTGATAATAATATATACAAAATAATACATATGCAATATAATACAAAATAACATCATTGACATTAATTTTTTAAATTATATACAGTATTTCATAAATTACCTTCAGACGTTTAAACACTCCAAAGTTTATAAAACCATGCCTCTCTAAAAAAGCATGAATCCTACGAGCGAGCACTGTATCGCTATTATAAGGTGATTCAATTTGTGGTAATGCATTTTCGATGATTAATTGCTGTTTTGGATTTTCCAGCCAAATTTGTAACTAAAAATCAGTCATATTAAAGAAGGAGCAATGAAATCGATTAGTTTAAATACTCACCAATCTATTCCTAATGTGTAAAAACACTTTTTGTGTTTGTGGTGGTCCACTAGAGATGTCCAAGAAACATGCAGCTTCAGTGGATGTCATTTTATCAAATGGAAGACGACTTTGAAAGGCAGCACCTTCCAATCCATTCAACAATTCCTTTACTAAATGTATAAATGCATGATTAATATCCTTATTAATACTTAGTTTTAAATAAATAATTTATAAAATACCATGTGGATCTTCATGATCGCTATCTTGATCATCTTCTTCCTTGACTTCTGTTTTCGAAGCAGAAGGCACAGGAGCAGGCACTGTAGATTCAGATTCTTTTTTTACTTCTATGGGTGCTTTCTTTTCAGGTGTTACAAGACCAGTTTTAGATTTTTCTGATGTATCCGAGGCATTTTCGTCTTCCATTTGATTATACTTTTCCTCCATTTCCCTGTACTCCACCTATGATTAAACATATTTTTTTTTATACCAGATACATTTGAATAAAATATATTACATGAAAAAACTCATACATATAAATATAAAATTATTTAAAAATATAACTAGTAACTGATAAGAGATAACTGACAAGTTGCTAATCGATAATGCAGCAAATAAACCAACAATGTATTTTGCCATAAATGTATACGCAAGAGATACTCCCTTGTGACAAACAAAACAGAATTTATGAATAACTACAAAATATGCCAGATGAGACTTATTCTTGTTTATTACCGCATGAAAAGTAAAAGAAATCGAACAGTTTATCACAATTTATCATTGGAATAAATATTATATCCACTTTCACCCATGTTTATTAATATTAATTTAGATCTTATCTATTCTTTATCTTTTTCTAATACTTAAAACTAAAAAAATATAAAAAGCAAATTAAATTAAGATTAAAGTTAATCTACATTGATAGAATGAAGAATGAACATTAACCACAAACATTGAAAATGAATGTGGTTACGCATGAATGAATCATAATGACTATAACGGAGAGAATGGGATGAAGAAAATACGCACCTTTGCCCTTTTCCTGCGACTCATCTTGTTCTGGATATTTAAACGTTGGCAGATTATCGAATTCGGCTTGATCGACGATGCAAAACTCTCGCGAGTTTGTTTTGATGCTTCAAACAGCCGGCACGAGTACATTCAAGATGGGCATGTTGCGAATAATGCGCGAACACAGCGCCATTCGGAAGCCATCTATGTACCCAGGAGACGAACTCATGGATACATAGATGGGAATGTTACCTGGAAATAAGTAGATTACACGATAATTTCATTGAATCATAATATCATAATATTAAATTCATGGATTTATAGCCTGTGTTCAATGAACACAACGGTTGTACTATGATTGAATAATTCGTTAATATAATTGATCTAAATTTAAGGATCTAATAGTAAAGATCAATAATCATTGATCTCTCATTGATCGTTTTATCTATTGAAATGCATTCCTTCGCGCTGTATAATTTTTGATGATTTGAGCGTTTTTGAATTTTATTTTATCATGCGCTAATAGCAGTGTTACACATATATATTAATATATAATTTTATTCACATTATTTTTATTATTTTATCATATTTATTATAAAATTTTATCATATTTATTACAATTTTATTATATTTTTTGTATATAATTTTTATAATAGAAAAATAAATAAAAAAAGTATTTAACATGGAATTAATAGCTTCTAGAAAAAAATATGAAGAAAAAAAGATAAAACAAGAGTGTTTCAGTAATACATTAAATTAAAATTTCTTCTTTTTCTTCTACCTTCCTATATAGACCTTTAAGCCTGTTTTACCCTTCTCATATGCCTGTGGTGCGCATGTAGATGATGCACAAGCATATGAGACCTACTTTTTAATATCGTTTGAATTTAAGTCATCACACTCAAAATTGTCTGTTTCCTTCGATGAAACTAATATATTTTTATCAATCTCCAATTTCTTGTCAGATTTTATCAAAAGAAATTAAACTCACTTGAATTATTTTGGAATTTTAATTTTTTCTTATTTTTTCTAATTTTTTTATTTGACTATTTGTAAATTCAGAAGTCGTATAAAGTGTCATATCATTTAATCGTGTGAATTTGTTATACAACAGATTTACTTTCACTGTTATAAGTGGAGTGCTCATCCGATTCGACAAGTTTGACGTAGTATCGGGAAATGGTATCGATGTATGGTATCGATGTATGTGATGTCGATGTATGTATAATATATATGTATGTGATGTCAATGTATGTATATATGTATGTATTATCTTTTTCGTCTCCTTCTTATTAGAAGTTGATTTGCTTGAACTTTGTTTTATTGCTTTGTCGGTAATTTTCTCTCTAGCAATTATTTTTTTCTTAGATTTAATGGACTTTGCAAAAAATGACTGATCTTGCCAATCTCTAGCCTGAAGTTCTTCCAATTTTGCAAATCGCAAATCACAATCTTTCACTATTCTATATACATCATATCTCAAAATTCGTGCAAATCTGTTATCGACAAGTTATCGATATATCATTGTTTTTACTAATGCAATTGTAAGAAATAGACGACCATAAGCGATCATGAAAGAGATTCGGAATATAAACAGCTAATAGTGAGGAGCCGTCGCGATCGTACAGACTAAGTATCTTGGTGGTAAGCGAGGGATCCCGAATTCAAATTCAGTCGATCTCCGTTTATTTTGCGAATCTAATAAATATCTTTCAGTTCAGAAGTGGGATATTCATGTTACCTCAAAGAGAATACAGCCTATGTTACCTGATAGGGAGAATTCAATCGATTTGTGTGTCATTCGAAATGAACGAAGTCGGAGTAAAAATATTCCAATGTCGATCGTTCAAAGGTGAACGAGTTCGGGAGCAGAAGTTCCAAATTTCGGATAAAAATTTCCGAACAAAGTTCAAGACAAAGTATAAATCTGTACAAGTTATCGGCATGTCGTTTTTACTAATGCAATTTTAGTGCAACTGTTTAATAGAAGATTGCATTTAATAGAAGATTGCAACTTTGTCTTGAACTTTGTTCGGAAATTTTTATCCGAAACTTGGAGCTTCTGCTTTTCCTTAATTAACATTACTGCTTGATTAATTTGATATCGAATTTGATATCCTCTGTGGTATCATGTCGCGAATTTCGGATCACTTTTCGCAAAGTTTCTGAAGCTTATCTTTTTCATTATTTAACATACGCTTAAAATACTCGACACTGTATTCGTCTTCTTTTTTTATTGTGTCAGAATTATCCGTAACAATATCTTGTATTTCAAGCTTATTGCTGGACGTGCCTGATTCTGAAATACGAGAAAGATTAGATAGAATTATTCTACTTATCTCTGCTGCTTCCTCTCTTAATATTATTATATTTTAATTTTTATATTATTTAAATGTCTCCTAAAATATATTAGATTTTTTGTATTATTTTTTTCTTCTATTATTGGCAAATGTATCAAGAATCAATATATGAACTAAAAATATATTTAACACAAAATAAAATAAGTAGACAATATTTTGTATTTGTAAGGCAAAATCTTTGGCGTCTAATAATCTATTTTTAATTTTTTAATTTATATATTAATATAAATTTAAGATAATTAATTAATGTTAATGTAACTATTAAGTCATGCGCTTATATGCAAGACAATATAAAAAGATTAATAGCGGAAATATAAATAATATTTTTAAACAATTTGCAATATTTTTATCCGCGACAATTACAACATATGTGATAAATATTCGAATTATCAAAATGTGTTATTTTCATGATAATTGCTTATGAAATAAATATAATGAGGCAACCAATTGGCAATTGTGAAGGAAGAACAACAAACAACATCGACATATTCAAATATTAATTTAATATGTTCTTTTTAGCGAATAAATTAAAAAAGAAAGATTATTAGACGTTAAAAAGGTTGTGCCTTCCCGAGTATTGTTTCTGTATTTTATTTCATTATGTAAAGAAAATTCTGATATACTAAATGGAATTTTCGTATTACTATTGTTCAACGTTGATCTTTCCATTGAATTTATTTGCTTTATTGGCGAAATATTTAAGATTTCTTATTCGCCTATCAATACTTTCAACATGATTGCCTCTATAGAATCAGAATCACAATTAACTGATTTTTTTAATGGTTACTAATATTTTCCGCTGATTTATCACATGCGAAAATATCATTTTTACTTGACGAATTGTCTTCTATTAATATTTATTTAATATATTAATATTTAATATTTAATATTTATCTTATATATTAAAATTATCTTAGGTAACCCAGCGGGAGGATTAAATTTATGATTAGGTGGAGCAAATGATTTCCGTTTTTTGATATCAGACTCGGTCCTTATTTTTTCTCTGGACAAAATCATAAATGTTTTTTTTTTGTCGCAGATGTGATTGTCTTAACTAACAATCGTTTCTCATAGCTTTTGTAATTCTTTTTTTAATATTGGAACTTTTTTGATTTTGTCCAGTTGATTTTTTTCTTTTTCATAGACTCAAATGCAATGTCAGATATCAAAAAATTAAAAAATGACGAACAATTCCAATTATAAAGAGAAGTTTTTTTCTGTGATTCCGCTTTTTTCTTTCTCTCTCGCTCCGCTTTTCAATTTAATAATTTTATTTTAGCTTCATCTGCAACTATTAAATATGTTTTTGAAACGTCGAGATTTTTGTTCAGTCAAATAATTTTTATAAATATAATTTTTTATAAATTATTTTGATTAACAAATATACATATAATATTTACTATTTTAATATCTACTATAAATTATAAACTATATTAATAT